GTAAATAAACGAATAGGTAGTCAATACATTTGAATAGGTGAAACCTTCATCATTGTTCAAAATATCTAGTGGGATGGAAAATAACACCACCCCGTGTGTATATCCTTGAGCAAGCATGAAAATTTTTCATTAATTCATATAGGAAAAACAGAATAATTAACAAAGAAAATATTTTGTGAGAACGAGTCTCGTTAAACTCTGAAAATATCTAGTTACATTCTAAGGCCTTATTAATTCATAATTTATAATCAGTGAATCCATGAATTAATCAAACAACATAGAAATGAATGAAGACAACACCGTCTTCTGGATCTATGATGATTAAAGGGACATCAGTTTGAGTCGCCATGATGAATCTAAAGTGTGTTTTACACACTGAGGTCCACCTCAGAAGGAATGTGGCCTCTCTCTTCCTGGGAAGCATGCCTCATTCTCCTCTCCTCTGCTTTGTTCTTTACGCCTCAGAGTGACGCCCGCGACCTGACTTAGTCCTGAGTGTTCCGGGCGCATCTACGTTGTACGAGCATGGAGACCCATGTGAGTGATATCAATATATTAGATTGAATGGTTGGTTCTATGGAATTCACTGTATTATTCCAAATATTACATGTAATTAAATGATATGTGCATGCCTATGTTCATAGCAGTGCTCTTTTCCGTAGCTGAGATCTGGAAACAGCCGGAGTGATCATCAGCAGATGAGTGTATAAAAACACAGAGTACATCTACACAGGGAATACTATGCAGCTGTAAAAATAAAAGATCTATTACCCTTTGAGACTGCATGCAGTGACCTGGAGATTATTGTGCTAAGCAAAATAAGTGAATCAGAAAAAGACAATCTCTCATGAAATCAGTTAAATGTGAAATCTAATGAACAAAATAAACTGAGCAATAAAGTATTGATAGAACGAGTGACATGGAAAGAGGGGACAGACTGAGGAATCTCAGAGGAAAGGGTCATTCACAGCAATAGTAAACACATACATAAATACAGGGTGTCTCCCCAAAATGTATACACACTTTAAAATGGAACATACTTTTAAAAACACTGCCTTTATAATTAATCGAAGTTCATGCATCCGTTTTTGGGTGGATACTCTGTATATGTAAAAAGGAAGATGGTGAAACTTTGTCCAATTATAAAAATGTGTGGTTAGGTAAAAAGCTGGTAATATATATATTAGAAACAAATATGTATTAGGATATATCATAGGTACAAAGTGTTATTCTTTGATTAAGTTTGATATAGTTATTGATAAGTAATTATCAATATATCATCTTTCCATTGCAAAATTGATTTTGTTCATTTACTTATGAGAAAATAAAGCATACTTTAGGCCAATTCATTACTTACTAAATGGCTGACTAGTAGGTAATATTCAAGAATCAATAATTAATGCCTCAACTTTATAAATTATTGTTTTCTTTTATACTCCTTAGCATCATTGCATGTGGGTGATTTAAGCCTGCTGCCATGATCATAAATTCTGAGGCTGAATCTATGCATTGAAATCATGTGTCACCCCAAAATGTATACACACTTCGTTGGAAATTATTTAACCTTTGAGGTCATCAATGAAACATATATATTGTCTATAGAAAGTAAGTTCAAGGCACATGCCAGGAAATTTAAGAATCTTGTTTCAAGATTTTGTGACTCCCAAAGGTATTTATTTTATTCTTAGCTAATTGGTGATTTAAGCAATGCAGATATATAGACATGAATGAAGACAGTGAGGCTGAATCCTGGATGAGTGATGATGATTGGTGTAGGTAGGAGTCCTTTCCCCCCCACCCCCACCACCACACCCCCATTTAAGGTGATATGTAGGGGAGGCTAAATATACAAAGGATCATGTTCTTGGTCTTTGTGTACATGAATATGTAAAAATAGAAATAGAAATGGCAAGGTAAATAAACGAATAGGTAGTCAATACATTTGAAGAGGTGAAACCTTCATCATTGTTCAAAATATCTAGTGGGATGGAAAATAACACCACCCCGTGTGTATATCCTTGAGCAAGCATGAAAATTTTTCATTAATTCATATAGGAAAAACAGAATAATTAACAAAGAAAATATTTTGTGAGAACGAGTCTCGTTAAACTCTGAAAATATCTAGTTACATTCTAAGGCCTTATTAATTCATAATTTATAATCAGTGAATCCATGAATTAATCAAACAACATAGAAATGAATGAAGACAACACCGTCTTCTGGATCTATGATGATTAAAGGGACATCAGTTTGAGTCGCCATGATGAATCTAAAGTGTGTTTTACACACTGAGGTCCACCTCAGAAGGAATGTGGCCTCTCTCTTCCTGGGAAGCATGCCTCATTCTCCTCTCCTCTGCTTTGTTCTTTACGCCTCAGAGTGACGCCCGCGACCTGACTTAGTCCTGAGTGTTCCGGGCGCATCTACGTTGTACGAGCATGGAGACCCATGTGAGTGATATCAATATATTAGATTGAATGGTTGGTTCTATGGAATTCACTGTATTATTCCAAATATTACATGTAATTAAATGATATGTGCATGCCTATGTTCATAGCAGTGTTCTTTACCGTAACTGAGATCTGAAAACAGCCTGAGTGCCCATCAGCAGATGAGTGTATAAAAACACAGGGTACATCTACACAGGGAATACTATGCAGCTGTAAAAATAAAAGATCTATTACCCTTTGAGACTGCATGCAGTGACCTGGAGATTATTGTGCTAAGTAAAATAAGTGAATCAGAAAAAGACAATCTCTCATGAAATCAGTTAAATGTGAAATCTAATGAACAAAATAAACTGAGCAATAAAGCAGAATGAGTGACATGGAAAGAGGGGACAGACTGAGGAATCTCAGAGGGAAGGGGGCATTCACAGCAATAGTAAACACATACATAAATACAGGGTGTCTCCCCAAAATATATACACACTTTAAAATGGAATGTACTTTTAAAAACACCGCCTTTATAATTAATCGAAGTACATGTATCCATTTTGGAGTGGATACTCTGTAAATATAAATAGGAAAATGGTGAAACTTTGTCCAATTATAAAAATATGTGGTTAAGTAAAATGCTGTTAATATATATATTAGAAACAAACATGTATTAGGATATAGGTCTAAAGTGTTATTCTTTGATTAAGTATGATATAGTTATTGATAAGTAATTATCAATATATCATCTTTCCATGGCAAAATTGATTTTTTCATTTACTTATGAGAAAATAAAGCATACTTTACCCCAATTTATTACTTAATATATGGCTAACTAGTACGTGATATTGAAGAATCAAAAATTAATGCCTCAACTTTATAAATTATTGTTTTCTTTTATACTCCTTAGCATCATTGCATGTGGGTGATTTAAGCATGCTGCTATGATTATAAATTCTGAGGCTGAATGTATGCATTGAAATCATGTGTCACCGAAAAGTGTTTACACACTTCGTGGGAAATTAATTAACTTTTGAGGTCATTAATGAAACATCTATATATTGTTTATAGAAAGTAAGTTCAAGACACATGCTAGATATATTTATGAATCTTGTTTCAAGATTTTGTGACTTCGCAAGTTATTTATTTTATTCTTTGCAAATTGATGATTTTTTTTATTTTTAAAAAAATATATATTTTTTTGATTTTTTGCAGAGAGGAAGAGAGAGGGATAGAGAGCTAGAAACGTCGATGAGAGAGAATTATCGACCAGCTGCCTCTGGAACATCCCCCACTTTGGATGTGCTCGCAAGCAAGGCACATGCCGTTGACCGGAATTGAACCCGGGACCTTTCAGTCCTCAGGCTGACGCTCTATTTACTGAGCCATACCGGTCCCGGGGCTAATTGGTGATTTAATCAATGCAGATGTATAGACAGGAATGCTGACAGTGAGGCTCAACCCCGGATGAGTGGTGATGATTGGTGTGCGTAGGAGGCCTTTTTTCCCCCCATTTGTGGTGATCCTGTAGGAGAGCCTAAGTATACAAAGATCTTGTTCTTGGTCTTTCTGTATATGAATAATTAAAAATATATTTAGAGCCGACACCGGTTTGGCTCAGTGGATAGAGCGTCGGCCTGGGGACTAAAAGGTCTTAGGTTCGATTCCAGTTAAAGGCATGTACCTTGGTTGCAGGCACATCCCCAGTAGGGAGTGTTCAGGAGGCAGCTGATCGATGATTCTCTCTCATTGATGTTTTTAACTCTCTATTTCTCTCTTTTCCTCTCTGTAAAAAAAATCAATAAAATATATTTTAAAAAGTTTATATATAATTAGAAATGGCAAGATAAATAAGCAAATAGATAGTCAATACATTTGAATAGGTGAAACCTTCATTGTTAAAAATATATAGTGGGATGGAAAATAATACCACCCTTGGTGTATATCCTTGAGCAAGTATGAAAAACAGTGATAAATAGTAGTCAGTTATTGATGGAATCAGTTTCAACTTTGACATTTGATTTATCGAGAGAAAAAATAAATAATTATGACCATAAAATAATAAATGCTTAAATATCTGTGCAAATAAACAGTGGAATCTCTGTATCCATGGAGACAAAGTCTTAACATTCTCATCATGTTCCTTTTGTCACTTGTCTCCCGAATGGACCCTGAAACTGATTTCGGCTTCTGTGTCTGTCATGTTCCCTCTGTGTCTGAGAAGCGATCAAGGTACCTAATGGTCATGTGGTTACCACAGCGTTGGCCATTTGTTGAAAGATATTTACAGTATTATTTAAAGGCATTACATTCATAAAAAGTTAGCCATGTCTCATTGATAAATATGAAATTTTATGTTGATCAATTGATAATGTGTAGGATTGGGGTCTATTAATGAATGAAGTATAGTCTATGTGAGAATTGATTCTGTAAAATTGATCCTAGGGATATTTAAGAATCTCCTTGTTAAGTTTTTATAATCCATGAATTGTTTTTATTATGAATGAATTGATCATGTAATCGATACAAATGTAGTAACAGATGATGAAAAATAGACCCAAGTCATGGATCAATAATGATTCCTGGTGGTGTAGCACTCATGGCAATGAAAAGACATGTGTGAGACTCTGAAATCTAGAACATAGTCTGTTTCTTCTGTTGAAATGATTTCTATAAAGAGATGTCAGGAATATAGAGATCATATTAGTGTATTGATTTCACAGAAATAGATTTGTATTTATTAATGGAATAGTATACAAATATTAAATATAAATAAAGAATGAGGTGAAGTATTGTTCAATTATGAAGATTTTGTAGTGAGGTAAAAGGTAATAATGCCATTGAAAACATTGATTCCCATTAAGAAATTAATGGCTCAATCGATTACCTCTGTGAGTAAGGATTATATAGGTACTGATAAGGCAGTCCATTTTATTCTTCGAGGTCAATCTCAAGATTAAGTTTTTACTTTTCTTAAGATAAAGAATGTATATTAATAAAAATTAATACATACCTAAATACTGAGTTAGTGAAATATGTGCAAAGCTAGTATCAATGACAGTTTAATTTTATTTTTCATCTGCTCTGTGCTGTCTTCCTCAGACACTCTTGAGCTGATTTATGTATCATCCATGGTCACCAGCTTTCTAGTTGCCTCTGGTAGGAGGACAGAGATTAATGTGCATAATAGCTCAAGTTTTTTTCTTGGTTTCAGTGTGTGTGTGTGTATTTTTTTAAAAATTATTCATTAGGAAGTGCAAAAGATATTTAAGAGGGCAACTCTAACTCGGTGATAAATATGGGAAGTTTATTTTATAAAGATAAAAATAAATAACTCTTACCATAAATGAATAAATACCAAAATAATTATGGAAATTATAGATCAATAGAGACAATGTCTCAATCTTTTTATCATCTGTTCTGCTTGATACTCTGCAAAATCAAGGCACCTAGCTGACTAAAGCTTTTCTTCCATGATCAAAATAAGATGTCACTTCTGTTTTCAGAGAGACAGCAAGGTAAGTAGTCATCGAAGTTCTTGTCTTGGTTTTGGTCATTTGTTTAAGGTAATAATAACCTTAACCAAATTCCCACTATTATTAAAAAGTATTAAATATAACAAAAAATGTTAGCTATGGCCCATTGAGTAATATAATATGACACATTTTGCTGATTAATTGATAATGTTCAACATTAAAGTTGCTTAATGCAAAAGATATACTGTATTGGGAAAGATTTCCATAAATAGATTTTAGGGATACTCAGGGATTTTGTTCTTGCATTTTTGTGAATCGTATGTATTTTAGTATTATCAACGCATTAATGATTTAATCGATACAAATTTAGGAAGAAAAGATGGCCTCACTTGGACCAATCATGATGACTGGCTCATATGAGTTATGAATAACAAATGATATCAATCTAGAATTCTGAGGTTAACACAGAATGTAATTATTAAATTCCCTCTGTTAAGAATCCTATCAATTGAAATATATTAAGATAATGTTCTTATTTTGGATTCTTAGATTTAGATTTATTATTACTAACATGAATGATTGAACAATTAAACAAATAAAAATAAATAAAGAAAAGGAAAAGCGTTAATCACTGTCCAACTAAGAACATATGTAATGAGGCAAAAAATATTAATAAAAATTGAGACTATTGATGCCCATTAAGACATCAATGAATTGAAAATTTTACCTCTTTGTTTAAAGATCATACAGACGCTGATAAATAAAAGTCAGTTTTATTGTACTGGATCAGTTCCACATTTGAGGCTGTCCTTATTTAAAAAATTAAATTTTGGGGGGTAACATTAGTTAATAAAATTATATAGGTTTCAAGTGTACAATTAATTCCATGATACATCATCTGTATATTGCATTCATTCTGTGCCCCCCCTCCCAATCAAAGCTTCTGTTGTCAGATATTTGACCCCTTTACCTTTTACTACCTCCACATCCTCTTCCCTTTGGTAACCACCATAGTGTTGTCTGTTATCCTTTTGTTAAGAGAAAAAATATGTACATTATGAAAATACAGTAATTACCTATATGACAATAAATGAAATGCAGAAAGCAGAAACCATAGACGATATCATCTCAATTTAAAAAAAAATCATTAGTTTTGTTTGAGAAGATTTTATTGACACATGTCAGGAATACACAAAGATGCTTTATTAAATTTTTGATTTTTGTGTATTTTTATTCCATAACTAGAAGCCCACTGCATAAAGATTTGTGCAAGAATGGGCCTTCTTTTCCTTAACTGCTGGCACTGCCTTTCTGCTCCAACCCTTGAGCTTCCTCTTTCTGCTCCAGCCCTGCCTTCCCACACTGTCCAAAGGCCCTGAGCTGCTAGAGAAGTGTAGAACTGTGTATCCAAATTAGCTCACCACCTTTGTTGGGTTAATTTGCATACTCACTCCTGATTGGATGGTAGGCATAGAGAAGGTATGGTTAATTTGCATCTTTCTCTTTTATTAGTGTAGATTATAATTGGGCAATTACAAGAAACCATCAATAAATATACAAAGAAATAAAGATGAATGGAGCAAAGCTTTGTCCAATTGTGAAAGTATGTGATTAGACAGGAAATGGTCTGATGTATTGAATACTTTGTTATCATTGAGGAAGTAAAAGGTTAAAGGGTGTTTTCTACTTGGCTGCGGATAACACAGACACTGTTAAATAACAGTCCATGTTCTGTATAAGGGGCAAGAATGATACTGCTTATTTACTTCCAAGAAGATAAAATGTTAACCCAAATCACTACCTCCCTGAATGACTGAATGACTGAAAGGTGGGGTGCCTAAACCAGTACAGACAGTATCTCACTCTTTAAAAAATCATTTCCTCTGCTCTGTACCCCGCAGTCTGGCCATGTGTGAGCTGATTTAAGATCGCGAGCTCCATAGTTGTATCTGTGCGTTATTAACATGGAGACCAATGTGAGTAATAGTTACAGTTCTTGTCTTGCTGTCATTGTTTTATATTGTTTTTTTAAAAAAATATTCACTGCATTATTTTAAAATTTTGAAGTGTAATTATTGAAGGACGGCCCTGGCCCAGTCATAAATATGGGGCTCATAGGAAGCATTGCTTTGATTAATCCCTAAATGCAACATGGAAGTTGAGTAATGAAAGAGCTTTATTGCCATGAGTAATAATTATCTTACTCTCAAGTTTTGTGACTTTAGGTATATATTTTATTATTATTGGTAACCTGATTAATTAATAAAATTCATGTAGACATGAATTTAAAAACGGAAGACCATGTCTGGATCAGAGGTGACCCCTGGTGGCATGGTGGCATGGATGATGGCAACTATGTGTCTGGAACTCTGGGGTCCAACACAATACAAATCTCATCTATTCTCATGTTGAAAAAAATCCTGTAGATAGATGTTAGAGATATTTAAGCTTCTAATTTTATGGCTCATGGATGATGAGTATGTTATTATAAAAGAGCCAATATCAAATAATTAATGATGGAGATAGTGAGGCATAATCCAGTTATTAAATATGTGGTAAGAAAGAAATCAATATAATTTGGAATGGATAATAAGGGGACCAAGTGTGTTACTCCTTTGGCGAAGGATTACAGAGCTATTGATAAGTAATAATCAGTGCTTTGTTTTGAATCAATTGCAAATTCAACATTTGTTTTAAGAGAAAATACCCTAATAGTACCATAAATTAAGAAATGCTAAATTACTGAGTAAGTGAAAGGGCACTCCTGTGCTGATTTTAACATTCACTAACATACAGAGTTAGAAACATCAATGAAAGAGAGTCATTGATCAGCTGCCTCTTGCACACCCCCCACTGGGGATATGCCCGCAACCAAGGCACATGCCCTTGACCAAAATCGAGCCTGGGACTCTTCAGTCCCCAAGCCAACGCTCTATCCATTGAGCTAAACCGGTTTCGGCTCCATGCATTATTAATAAGTAGACAATATAATCAAAGAAGACTAAACATGCCCCATAATGAACATGAGATTAATAGGAATGGTTATATTGAGGCAGCCATATTGGAAACACTGATATCTTTCTTAAAACATCCATTCAAGAACCATAATCTAGAGTCTATGGGAAATGACTTTATAAACATTCGGGGTGCTAGGGCTCTTCTTCTGAGCTTCAGATTCATGTATATGTATTTCTTAGTAAATGAATGAATAGATCAATAGACAAATAATAATTGATGACAATGATTCATGTGCTTGGACCATTGGTAACATCTGGTGGTGGATGTCCAGGATGATGAATAACTTGTGTCTGGATGTATGAGATCTGACACAAAAAGAAATCTAGGCTGCTGCTCCTTTAGATGTGATTCCCATAGATAGAAATGTTCAGTTATTCCATTCTTGTGCTTTTGTAGCTCATGGATAATTATATCATTATAGTGAACTGATAGGTGAAGGGTTTGACAAATAGAATTGAATAACAACCCTGCCACACCAGTGCCAACTGTAGCATATGTAATGAACAAGTGTCAGGACCAATCTTTCATTGAGGATCTGGGATTCATGTTTCCATAAGTTTCAGAATGCATCACATATAGACAGATGTATGAATTCTGGGATGTCTTTGGTCTTCTGGTTGTTTGTTTTATTACTGCATATAAAGTATTTATAAAATTAAAGATTAAGCACTACTTAAATTAAAGAAGGCCAGTGATACGTTTTCTTATATAACTAGAGCTGTTGTGCCCACTAAATTCCACTGTGAAGTGGCATACTAGTATTCAGGTAATGAGCAGCAACTGCACATGCATTACTATTACTCAGTGCAGTTGTACTGAGTGTTTGCAAAGATCTCGGCTTTTATCATTGTGGTGAATAAATAAATTCACAGCTATTAGTAGCTCAGGGGGACAAAGGAATAATGTTTATAATTTAACCAGTCCCACGCAGATGATAACCCTCTTAATTAAAACAGTTGGGTTCCTTTTAGTTCTGTGGGTGAGGGACAAAGTTCTCATGTTGGGCAGCTTATTAAAGGGTGTTTGTTATATTAATAAATGGATAACTAAATACTTTAATACAATTGTGGTCTATTCATGAGTCAGAGATAAGAATATGACATACATCATGGTTTATGATTAATTTCTTTCACGGTTGCCATGTTAAAACCCCAATCTAGCTTTTTCATTTACCAGCATTCTTTTGACATCCCACAGGATGGAAGCACCAGAGCTAATTAAATTATTCTGCAGTCATGAAGATCTGCACCTTATCCCTCTGGGGAAGGAGCGTCCTGTGCTAGGTAAGTAATAAAGTTCTTGGTTTGAGTGGTTGGTTTTTAGGTTCCCATTACACCATTAAAAAAGCTCAGAAGTGGGCCCTCAGCTTAAGTACCAGGCACTTTATGGGAGAGATGATGCCTGAGCCAGTGACAAGCTCACAGGGCTCTAAACTCCATAAAGTCAGGAACCATACTCATATGCCCATTGTGCCTTGCATGTATATCACATGTAATAAACATTAATTGGATGAGTAGCTGAGTAAATAATGATTGAGATAAAGAATGAATGAAGCAGTGAGTTAGTGAACGAATGAGTCTTTGTGTCAACAAAGGATGAAAAAATGAATGAATGAAAATATGAAGGAGCACACTAATGGGAGAATGAATTGGCAATGAGTTGAGTAAATTAATAAGTGCATACATGTGTGATGAATTAGTAAATGGCCCTGTAAGAAAAATTTTCCAAAAGGGAATGAGGGAATGAATAAAGTAGGTCAATGAGTCGTAAGTGAAAGATGAGGGTTCAAATGGATGAGTGAATAAATAAGTGAATCTCTGAATGAATTTATGAGCTGATGGATAAGTGAAAATTAATTAGTAATGAGGGAATAAATGAACCAGTGAGTCAATCAGTGAATGAGTCAATGAATAACCAAATGACTCGATTAATAACTCTGAAAATGAGTGAGTGAATAAATGAATAAATCAATGAAAGAGGAAAAAGTTGAATAATTTTACTAATGAGTAAGTCAATGAGTGAAACAAATTAATGAGGGAATGAATCAGCAAATGGATAGAGGAATGACTATATTAGAGTGAAAGAATAAAAGAATGGATTAGTAAGTGAGTCAATGAGTGTGTAATCCAAGAATAAATTAACTCCTCTGTGAATGGATGGTTGAATATGCAAATTAATAAATGAGTGGATGAGTCTGTGATCCATGTGTGAGGCAACTAGTGAATGACCTTCCCATGGACCTCCTTTCCTGTCCACTGCAGAGGGTTAGCCCCGCCCCAACCTCATGGCACATGGCAGCTACCTCACTCAGATCACCAGTCTTACCCCATCAGGAACATTTGTTTAATTTCATCACTGAGCTGATATGCCCTGAGAGCCAGAAACTGGGTCACATTTTTCTCCGTGTCCCCAGTGCCTTCCCAGACCTGAGCCTAGGAGGTGCCAGTACATTATTGCCGAATGAATGAATGAATGAATGAATGATTAAAAATACATGTGCTTTTGTGGAACCAGAATAACCCTTCTCAGAAGGCCTGGGAGCCATTTTGTGGGGGAAGCGTGTTGTGTATGAGATGGTCGGTGTCTCCCATCCAAGTTCAAATTCTCCCCGGAGTCCAGCACCAGACAGTGAGGCAGGATACTGGCAGTTCTGCCTGCCCTGGCCATTGGCCCGTCCTTGGGCAACATTGGCTTGGCACGGTGGAATGGGATCCCTGGGTCTTCCCGAAAGCTGCCCGGGTGCCTGCCAAGGCAAGAAATTAAAAATAACCCAGTCCTGTTTTTATGCCTCCGGTGAGCAGGCTCGCTCCCTGCCTCCTGGTCTGGTTGTGGGACTTGGAGTTACTTGTGAAGCAGCCTCAGTGTCATCCATTCGATGGGGACACTGACACCCTCCAGCTGAGTGGTTGCCAGAGTCAAGTTTGCCGAACAAAAGCTCATGATAAGGCTCTTACATGGCATAGGCTCTTGGGGTCAGGTCAGAGAGATGAGCAGATTTGGGAGTTCGCAGTTGCCTGGCGGTGGAGAAGCCGGGTGCTGGGTTTCCCTCTGCAGCAGCTCATCCAGGAAGCTGTTAGTGTCCAGCTTTGATCTGCCGAGCCCACCTTCAAGTGTTGCTCTTAGATTTGCCGCTAACTCAGTCCTTTCCCTTTAGCATCATATCAGTCTTCTGGATGATCTCCCTGTCTTTGCTCTAGTCTGTTCTCCTCACTGCACTCAGTGTGATCTTTCTAGAATGAATGAGGATGAGTCCCATGCTCTTTAAAGCCCTCTTGTGAGTTCTGGAAACTCCAGGCCGAAGTCCAAGCCCCTTGGTTTCCCAGTCAAGGATCTTCATGGTTTGGCCTCTCACCACACCTCCCACCACACGCTCCCTGGCCTTGTGCACCAGCCAGTAGCCACTTCCCAAGTCTGTGTGTGTCTGTGTCTCTGGGCCTTTGCACAAGCTCATCTTAACCCCACTCTTACAACCGATACACAGTTGTGAACCTGACCTCCATTCAAGTTGCTCGGTCACGGCCTATTTAGGTATCTACCTTCCCAATCAGACATTGAGCTCCCCAAGTCCAGTGCAGGTGGATCTCCAGCTTGGTGACAGTAGCCATACTGGAGTTATTATTCTTCCTCCTCAGCGTCTGGGACAAACCCCTACACCCATTTAGTGCTGTGAGGGCTGATGGATCCATCCGCCAGAATGCTGGTTGGATGACAGGGAATGAATGCACCAAAGAATGATCGTGAGGTTGCCATCCTGGCACAGAACGGGGTCCATGGTGCCGAGGAGAAGCACCCCGTCTTTACCGAGGTCTGCCCTCCCGATCCTGCCCACTCCACTTTGCCTCCGCCTGCGACTCATTAAGAAATATGCAACCTTAATCCTTGAAATTGCCTGGGATGGAGCGTGTTGGCCGTGCATGGCACAGACATGGGGATTTTATTCCTTCCTTAAATAAATCTCACTCCCCCAGGAAGTTTGGACAGGATGTGGGCAGTTGGACCAGGGCTTGAAACTGAACATTTTGCAAAAGGCCCGTTTCAAAATTTGAAACCCTGTGGCCACTGGCCAGAGCTGGGCCTGGTTTGCGAGGTCGCTGGGCCTCCTCTCAGAGAAGGGAAGGAAAGGAAGATGGAAAACGAGCGTCCGTGTCATTGAGCGGGCGGACCGTTTGCAGGAAGAATCCCGAGGTTTGGTTACTTCTCTGAGGGAACTTGAGTGAGCTCGGTCATGGTCACCCTCATTAGCTCTTCTCTCAAGCTTTCGGCTCAGGCCTCATACCTTCCCGGAGCCAGAGGAGTCTGAGTTGGTCCTTCAAATGATGGGACAGGTGTCCGAGCACTAAATGGGACTGGGGTTTTGTCCAGACGTTAAGGAGGAAGAATAATATCTACATTATGGCCATTGTCACCAAGTTGGAGATGGGTGACATCAAGCCCTCGTTGAGGAAATAAGGAAACAGGCCTTGGGAAGGCAGTGCCATGCTTCTGGTCTGTCAGAAGCTTCTGGTCCCCTTGGCCTGCCTGAGCTTACCCCTTTCCACTTGCTCCCAGTCTCCTGCTTTCATGACTTCAGGGAGAGCTTCCAGTGGGTGCTGGGCTGTCTGTCTGTCCTTCAGACCAGCCATTTCTTCACCTGGCCGAGCTGAGCTCCCAAGCATGGCTGGGACTGTATCGATGGGAAATCTCAAATCCAGATCAGGGGCGTGGCCATGGTGGGTCTCAGCCGTGTTCGGCAGGGCTGACAGGGAGCTGCAGGACCACGCATCCCAGGGTGGGCATGTTACAGTTAGTGTTTCAGCTCTGGGTTGGAGCTGTGGTCGGTTTATGAATGAGCATTTAATCCTTAACATGTTGAATAAAGATCAAAATACAAAACAACCTTCATGGGACAGTGATGGCTGGTGCCATGGAACAATGATGGCTGGCAAGCCAAAGTACACATAGAATTTGGTTAAATTCTATGTGTACCTGGGGTTGCAGGCAATAATAGTAACAATAGCAGGAACTCAATGAGTTGAAATCTGAGAGCCTTGATCTGCTCAGCCCCCTATTCTGTGCTCTTCACTATCTCCAAGAGTCCTTGGCTGGACCTGACACAAGCTCCCTGCTCCTTGCTTCATCCTTTAGTGTTTGCTAATTCCCCCATTCTCACCTCCTATCAGCTCTGCCCCTCAGGGAGGGTCTCCCTGACACCCCAGCCCCACTGGAGCTGCTCAGGGTCTTCTCCATACGGAACACTCGTGTTTAACACCGTCTCTATGGAATTTTGAGTATCCTGTCCCCTGTGCGGAACCTCCCTGTGTCCAGAGTCC